AAAGGAGCATGTTTCCTGTGGGCAGAGAAGGCAAGTGGCTGGCCAGGGAAGGCTTGATGCCCCGTGCCCTCCCCCTGCAGCCGGGGACCCTTGGTAGCAGAGTGAGGGCAGCTGATCACAGAACCCATCCCCACTCAGCATGGCAGCTGCTCCAGTGGAATGCAGGCAGTTGCCAGGGTTGGTGGGTATTTTGGGATGTGGCTGGGCCAGGGCAGGGCTGCCCTTTCTGTAGAAGCGGGGGGGAAACTTGAGCACACACTCACCGGGGCTCTGGACCCCACCTTCCAGCAGCACAGGCAGAAAGGTGCTGGGGGAGCCCAGAACGCACAAGGTCACCTCCGCCCCAGGACAGCCTCGGGAAAGAGAACATGGCCTAGCTCACCAGGGGCTCCCTTGCCATCTCTCTGCCCACCTTCCACTACCTCCACACTCATGGCCTCACCCTGGGGCCCCAGATTTTCCCAGGAATCAGACTAGAGACGGGACAGACAGGGAGTGGGCTGGGGAAGGGAGGTGCCCGCCCGACCCCCCCATGAGGCTGGCTCCCCTCTTTCTGCAGCTGTTCCAGAGGTGCTGCAGGCTGGGTGACTGGAGACCCGGGTTCTAGCCTGAGCTCTGACTTTCTGTGTGACCTTGGAGGAGTCAGTGTTCCTCCCGGCCTCAGTTTCCCAGCCTGTGCAATGGGACCAAGTCTGTGATTCTCAGGTATTCTACCTGTGAACTGTCTGTCCACACAAAATCTGACATATACAACAAGCTTGGAGGCGCAGAAGGGGAGGAGCCTGGGGGGGGATCTCAGCTGCTGAGCTGCTTCTGCCACAGCTCCCGAGGCCTTCTCTAGAAGCTTCAGGGCCACACAACATGGTTTGCCAATCCCAGGGCTGGATCTTTGTGGGGAGGGCGTGAGGGCAGAAATCCCAATCCTTGACTTCACTGGTGCCAGATGCCCTTGGAAATAATGCCTGCCTACCCTGGGCCATCTGGCTGTGCCCTCCCTGCCTTCAGACCGAACCAGAGCCTGGGGAAGGGACCAACCTGGGCAGGGATGAGGAGGCAGACTAGGCTGAGGGCCCCTCCCTGCCCCCAGGGGTGCCCCCCTCCAGGGAGCCCTCGGGCACCTGTGCGGGGCACCTGGCTTCGGTCCTGGGTCTCCGGAAGGCCAGCTTGCTGCAGACAGCTCTGCAGGAGGCTGTAGTAGTAGACAGTCCAGGCCCGGGCCTCGGCCCCCTCGGGGGAGCCCTTGCAGTCCAGGCCCACGTCCTGGCGCCAGGAGCCAGGGAAGCAGCCTGTGGGTGGCAGGCCAGAGCCCCCTCCCCAGGGGCCCTCTTCCTCCAGGTCCTTGGAGCCCAGTGGGCAATCCCACTCAGGACCCGATGGATCCAGGGAGAGCTGAGAGGGCAGAAGTGGTGGGTCTTGGGCAGAGTGGGCCCTCGGGCACATTAAGTCACCCAAGGGTGTAAGCCTCCCACTCTTCCAGTCTGGCCTATGTTCAGGGCTGTCACTGTCCCAGGGACTAGGGGAGGAAAGACTTATATTGGGAGTGAAGGCTTGTCAATGGGAACTCGTAGGTGGGAGTGCTTTGGAAACTGTTCTGTGTGGTGCCGGGGGGCGTGTGGCAGGAAGCAGTGTCCTGCTGGCCAGCCCCACCCCACGCTGGAGTCCGCCTTAGCTAGGTTCACAGCAGCAGAGTTTTTTGCTTGTTTTGTTCACGGAGGCAACCCTAGCACCTAAACCGTGCCTGGCACAGTCACTGCTCAGTAAGTGTTTGTTGAATGATGATTAGATGAACCAACGAACCCAGCATCACTCTGGGGTGGCTCATCTCTCTCATGACCCAGCAACCTAATGCCCTTCCCCTCACTCCCCTCTCTCAGGCTGGCGCCCTACCCCATTATGGGGCTGCTGAGAGGCTCAGTGTGAATGGAATTCTTGTTCTTTGCAGTCCCCAGGCCTGGCAGCCGGATGTGTCCTCCAGGGGACAGGCTCAGCCACCTTGAGAAGCTGTGAGGTCTCTCTGGGCCTTGTTGCCTGGTGCCAGCCCAGTCCCATCCCCTGGGGGCTGATGAGGCTGGGGCCGAGAATCTTGGTTGCTGGGAGACGGTGGGCTGTCGCCTAGGCGGCAGAGGACTGGGCCTCACACCTGGGCTCCAATCCCAGTTTGCCAGGGCCAGAGCCACCATGCCCTCTCCTAGAAGGTGAGCTCCCTGAAGGGCCATGGAATGAATGAATGTCACAGGGCACTAAGAGTGCCCACCTCCCAGGATGCACCAGGCGGGGTTGTGGGGAGGGGTCGGGGAGCTGGCCATGAGTCTAAGCTGTCTGCACAGAGCAGCCCCCAGGCTTAGGTCCTGAGTGCTGCCTGCTGTCCTCTGGGCCCGCTCTCTGCACAGGGACTTGGGCCTTTTGGGGGAGGGACAACAGGAGACTCACCATCTCGTTGGTGGAGCAGCTGAGGGACTGATGGCAGAGACAGAGGGACAGAGAGACAAAGGAGTCAGGGCAGCCAGGTCCCTGCCTGGCCTTCCAGCCCCTAGACTTTGGGAGTGCAGAGGTGGCCACCACTGCTCCTCTGTCCTGTCCCTGCAGAGAGGGGCCAAGGCTGCCCCACCCCGCCCCATAGCAGAGGAGTGATTTCTGCTGCCCAGACCGAGTGGCTCCTGCCCCAGTGCTCACGGGTCCTCACTGCCCTAGGGTCCTGGCTCTGCTCCGCCCCTCCAGGGGGCGGGGGCGCTTCCGGGTGTGGGGGTGCGAGCCGGGTCCCAGGGATGGGGGACGTAGTGTCAAGTGTCCCGCTGCTGGACTCGGGAGCCCGGGGGTCCTCGTCCCGGCGACTCCTGCCCTGGCCGCCCCCCTCCCTGGCTTTCCCCGGGGCGGGCTGTGGAGCTGGGGTACCTGGTGGGCGGCAGCGGCTCGGCGAGCGTGGCGGGCGGACTCAGACCGGGCGGGACGCAGCGGCGGCGGTAGCGGTGGCAGTGGCACAGGCCCAGGCCCAAGCAGCGCTGCCTTATATAGAAGCGCCTGGGGCATGCCCAGTGCCTGGCGGGGCGACGTGGGGCGGACGGACCGACAGGGACCCGCCTGGGACGCACCCTCCCCCAAAACGTCCCAGACCTGGGGACGTGGAGCGGACTCGGACCTGGCAGGAGGAGGGCATGGAGCAGGAAGAGACAGGGATCTTCAGAGACACAGAGGAAGTCCCGACAGAGGGCCAGGTGCAGATGGACAGAGACTGTCACCGAGGGTCAGAGACTTAGGGCTGCTGTGAAGAAAGAGAGGGAGGCCCACCATGGAGAAGAGATGGAGAGGAGGGGCGGGGAGAGGCGGAGCAGGCACAGACTGGTACTAGGGCTTGCCCTTAGGGGTGGGGTGCCCAGGAGAGCAGCCTGGGGCACACAGCCCTGAGCCCTACCTTTGGATGGAGTCTGGAGCTCCCAGCCCTGCAGCTGTCTGTCCCAGCCGCCAGTGTTCCACCCTACTGCACATTCTCCCAGAGGCCCTCCTGGGCCAGGGTCTCTGCACATCTGTGCAGCCCCCTCCCCACTTCTCCTGGCCCCAGTGGACTTGCACACAGGGGCGGGATGTCCATAAGATCCAGCCTCTCCTGGTGCGGTGGCTGCCTGGAATCCCAGCACTTTGGGAGGCTGAGGCAGGAGGATTGCTTGAACCCAGGAGTTTGCGACCAGCTTGGGCAACATAGCAAGTCCCTGTCTCTACAAAAACTGTTTTAAAACCAGTTGGTTGAGGTGGTGTGGGCCTGTCATCCCAGCTACTTGGGAGGCTGAGGTGGGAAGATCACCTGAGCCCTGGGATCGAGGCTGCAGCTAGTCCTGGTTGTGCCCCTGCACTCCAGCCTGGGCAATACAGTAAGACCCTGAGACCCTATCTCTCTCTCTTCTTCTTCTTTTTTTTTCCTCAGGCTAGAGTACAGTGGCACCATCTCGGCCCACTGCAATCTCCACCTCCCAGGCTGGAGTGATTCTCCTGCCTCAGCCTCCTGAGTAGCTGGGATTACAGGCGTGTGCCACTACGCCCAGCTAATTTTTGTATTTTTAGTAGAAAAAGCATTTTTGCCATGTTGGTCAGGCTGGTCTTGAACTCCTGACCTCGTGATCCGCCCACCTTCGCCTACCAAAGTGTTGGGATTACAGGTGTGAGCCACCGTGCCCGGCCCGACTCTATGTCTAGTCTTTTTTTTTCTTTCGAGACAGAGTCTTGCTCTGTTTCCCAGGCTGGAGTGCAATGGCGTGATCTCCAGTCACCAGAACCTCTGCCTCCCGGGTTCCAGCAATTCTCCTGCCTCAGCCTCCCAAGTAGCTGGGACTAAAAGTGTGCACCACCACGCCCAGCTAATTTTTGTATTTTTAGTAGAGATAAAATTTTTGTATTTTTAGTGTTTCACCATGTTACCAGCATGGTCAAGCTCTTGACCTTGTGATCTGCCCTCCTTGGCCCCCCAAAGTACTGGGATTACAGGTGTGAGCCACTGTGCCCACCCCCACTATCTCTTAAAAAAAAAATCTGCTGTACTCATCAACACCACACCCTCAGTTGAAGCTACAGTCTCCCCAAGATACACATACTCACACCCAAGCACACCCACCCAAATAGCCACAGAAGGGTACCCCAAGAGACCTGGATCACAGCCACAATTTACCCCCAGAAGCACACCCAGAGATTCATACCCTCTCCTAGAGTGTGTCCCACCAGCAGGTTCCAATCCTAGCTCTGGCAGTGGGGCCTGGGCCCCTCCACTTTGTGATCTGAAACTCACTCTCCCCAGCCTAGAATGGGGCTGGTTCCCCTCTCCTAAGCCGGGCAGCCTGTGGCTCTAATTCCTCAGCCCCTCTCCCTGCCTGTCTCAGAGCTTGACACACATTGAGCCCCAGCTGTCCTTCGGAGCCCCTTGGCCTGGGGGAGAGTACTGAGGGGCCCATACACTGTGGGGACAGAGATGGCAGCTGTTGGACCCTTTCTGCAACTATGTACAGGGCAGTCTGTGCAGCCATCCTGTCTACCACTGGAAGGGTCGGCAGGGAGGTGAAATGTCTTCTCCAGAGTGCCCTGCCCAGCCCACATTCCCCACATAGCTTCCAGGTCCACCTGCAGCCCTCCCTGCACCCGGCCCAGGTTCCAGGAATGAGGTGCAGCCACCCCAGGAGACCCAATCCCTTGCTGCATGGGTGGTCTGAGCTCCCATGGGGTCCCACTGTGGGGCCTGGGTGTCACCCAAAGAGCATGAGTTTTGACATTTAACAAGCTCTGCAGGCCAGGTGCAGTGGCTCACACCTGTAATCCCAGTACTTCGGGAGGCCAGGACTGGCGGATCTCCTGAGGTCAGGAGTTTGAGACCAGCCTGACTAACTTGGTGAAACCCTGTCTCTACTAAAAATACAAAAAATTAGGCCAGGCGCAGTGGCTCATGCCTGTAATCCCAGCGTTTTGGGAGGCCAAGACTGGCAGATCACCTGAGGTCAGGAGTTTGAGACCAGCCTGGCCAACGTGGTGAAATCCCGTCTCTACCAAAAATACAAAACTTAGCCAGGTGTGGTGGCAGGCACCTATAATCCCAGCTACTCAGGAGGCTGAGGCAGGAGAATCATTTGAACCCGGGAAGCGGAGATTGCAGTGAGCTGGTATCTCACCACTGCACTCCAGCCTGGGGAACAGAGATTCCCCAGAGATTCCATCTCAAAACAAAGAAACCAACAAGCTCTGCAGCCCTGGGGACTCAGTTTTCTCATCTTCAAGTGGGGATATAGTGCACACTGAGCCCAGGCTTAACACTTCACAGGCAAGGGGGCAATTATGAGACTCAGAGAGGTGGTGTGACTTGCCCAAGGTCACACAGCTAGTGATTGGCAGAGCTGGGATCTTCTGCCAGAATGCGTGCATGCATGCACAGAGAGCTGTGTGGTTCTGTGCCCACTTTCAGGCCACCCTGGCTGGTCCCCACTGCACTGGATACAGGGAGGATACAGGGAGGAAAATCAGAGTTGGGCAGCTGCAGCCCCAGCTCAGGACCCCGGGACTTGGGGCAGGCAAGTGGGCAGGCTGGTTTGGCTCTACCCTTGCCAGGAAAGCCTGGACATCACCCGAGGCAGAGCTGAGCCAGCTAGGGGTGGGGTGAGGAGAGGCAGTGCTGCGGCTGCTGCCCACCTGGACTAACGGTCATCACCATCATCATCATCATCATGCGCAGGTAGAGTGGTCTTGAGGCTGGGGTGGGGGCTGTTATTATCCCGTTATCCACAGGAGAAACTGAGGCTCAGAGAAGGAGAAAGGGCCTTTCCCAAGCAGGGGAGTCCAAGTCTGATCCCTCTGGGAGCCTGGAACGCTGTGGGAATTCAGGGAACCTCGAGTGGGTGGCAGAGCAAGATGGAGACCATGGGTCCTCCCCATCCATGGCAGGCACCCATTTGCCCCCTCACTCCTTTGCATGCCCCCACTCATGTCCACGCTGCATGCCCCACTCTGAGGCTGACAGACATCCCAAGGGCCCTCCCAGCACCAGTCCCCACATGGTGAGTGCTCTCAGATGCATCACTTCCCTTCTCTGAGCCCCTTTCCAGGCAGGCCTTTAGGGCGTTTCTAGGTTCCCTGAGTATGGTTGTGTAGGTTGCTCACTGCACAAAGGCACCTGGGTGAGAGATCCCTCCCCACTCTGCTACACCGTGCACTGTGATGAGGCTGCATGTTGCCTGGAGGAGAGACATATTTCCCCAGCTAGCAAAAAGGTGCTGTGGGGGCCGGTGCAGCCCTGCCGAGGAGGGCCTGTGGGAATGCATTCTTTCGAGGGTTCACACCAGGAGAGCACCGGTTCTCTTCTGTCTGACCCGTGAGTCAGGGCTCTTGTGCAGAGGACTGATAAGGAAACCTACAGCTGGGCTGTCCAGAAAACAGTCTCCTGAGTAGGAAAGGCAGTGACTGAGCCCCAGCTAGAGGGACCCTGCTGGAGAACACCTGCTCCTAGGGTCAGTGTCCAGAGTGAGCCACTGCCACCGTGCCCCTGCAGGTTCATGACAGACCCTTGACCCAGGGCTGAGGCTGCTGCACCTTGCTCTCCTATTCTCCCAGGAGACGAACTGAACCTGTGGAGGGTGGGGAGATCCCAAGTGGACTTCAGGGACAAGTGCTCCCAAACCCCGCCACCCTGCCTGCTATAGTGCCCGAGATTCCACTAAGAGACTCCCTGTCTAAGACTAAGGCATAGTCTACAAAGCACAAAGCCTTACCTCTGCACTCCAGCCAGCTCTGCCTTTCACTGTGGGGCTGGGTGAGGTCCCTGGCCTCACTGATCCTGTGTGTCTCTAACAGGGATATCAGGGGCTACGTGCAGAGAGAGGGCCTGGTTGGAGGGGGTTCTGGGAAAGGGTTTTGTAAATTATAGGTAAGGGGGTTATTAATAAGTTGCAGGCACCCCAATGGTGAGTGTCTGATTGTGGCAAAGTTTGCAGCTGTTCACAATTCAATAAATATCGGACGAGTTTAACTGAAAAAAAAAAAGGATGGGATGAGGAGTGGGCGGAGGAAGGCTCTGGAGCGCTAACTCGCAGGAGTCCTGCTGCTGCCTTGTCTACACACTGGAAGGCTGGTACAGCATTGGGGGTGGGGGGAAGGAGCAGGAGAAAGCACCCCTCCCCAGGGGGCTGCCCAGTGGGGAGCTGCCAGTGGTCGGGGCAGGGATAAACCTTGGGACTGCCATGGACAGTAAGGCTATCTGCAAGTTCCTGCTCCCCCTGAACCTCAGTTTCCCCCAGAGATATGACAGATAAGGGTCTAGGCCACCATGATTCCCTCTTCCAGGGACCCAGGGCCTGGCACTTGCCACACAGACAGAGCCTGTGGCCCTGTTGCAAGAACATTGCAAACCCAGAGTCTGACAGGTGACTCCACTGACACCCCATCCGATGGCCAGCCCTGGAGCCTGGGCCGGCAGATGCCTCCTGTCCATATGGAGTCCTGCTGTGTTCCCCACAGAGGGGAGGGCACTTGGGAACCAGCCCCGTTGCCCTGGCGATGGCTCAGGTCCTGGGCACCCACGGGGGCAATTAGTGAGTGTAGGAGGGGGTTTCCATGGTGGCGGTCCCGAGGGGGCAGACACAGGGCTCTGGGAGGGGTGAGGGCCGGCGGGACCTTTCTCCTTTGTCCGAGGCACACTGGGCCTTTGTTCTGCCTGGGTCCCTTTGACAGATGTGACCAGGACCACGGGTGCGGGGAGGACTTGGGTTAGAGTCCCCCATCCCAGAGAGTCCTGAACCA